GCTCATGAGAGAGGTTAGGTGAGGACCATTTGGAGGAGGGGGGGACCAAACTTGCTCCCCACCCCCCTTCCAAAAACCGACCACCTCAATGCTCAAGCCTCCTCTTACAATGCTCCACATGGCACCACACGTGGGCACCAAGGCACCCAAGGTGGGCTGCCATGTGCGACTGCCAGCAGGCCCAGCACAAGAGTGCGGGCTGCTTGGCGCTGCTGGCCACCAAGCCTAGCACGGCTTGTGCGGGCTGCTTGTGCACTCGGCCAGCAAGCCGCGCATCAAGGATGCGGGCTGCTGCTAAGTGCCGATGCTCCTTGTACGCGTTGGCCAACGCTGCTAGCATGTGATGCTAGCATTGGTGCGCTAGCACGCACCATCCAGCCTAGGCTCGGCTTAGTGCGCATGCTAGCCACCATGCTATACCAACTGCCCCTAGCACTCGGTTTACTTGGGGCATTCCGATGCTAGGGGTATTTTGGTCTTGTTGATTTATTATTTTTGTGTCTCGTCTTTTATTATCTTGACTCGACTTTCGAAGCTCGGTTTCAACGCTCTAAGCTTGAATTTCCGACGTCTAAATATATAATACTCGGACGAGGAATTAATTTCTTCCGAATTAATTCGTCGAGTCGGTTTGTATATTCGCTAGGGTGTGACCCGAAGGGTTCAGTCAAGATTAAGCTATAATATTAATTATTCATTAATATTACTGATCGGAAGCGGCCTCCACCCAGGCATTCCGATCACTTGACCTTGCTGAATATATTAGCTTTCTAATAATTCTGAACCCGCTATCAGAATAATACACTTGTTTGAAGGACACCATTCCTTTCAGAAAGAACCTTGGTATATAGACATCCTCAACTATGTCACAAAGGGAGAATTCAACCTCATGCTGAAAAACAAGAAAAAAGAGCCTTAAGACTTTTGGCTTCCCAATATGTACTCATTAATGACGAGTTACACAAAAGGATACCTAAAGGTCGAGCTCTTCTATGTGTAGGAAAAAAGGAAGCACAAAGAGCTATGAGAATAGTGCACGAAGGGGTATGTGGAACACACATAAATAGCAAAATGCTAGTCTAACAGATAATGCGCAAAGGGTATTACTTGACTACCATGAATAGGGACTGTCATCAATATGTCAAAAGATGCCTTAAATGCCAAATATATGCTACCTTGCAACATGTTCCTCTGTCTCTCCTCTACACCTATACATCACCATGGTCACTCTCAACATGGGGAATATATATTATTAGAAGAATTACTCCTCCAGGAATAGGAGGCCATGAATACATATAAGTAGTGTTTTTGGTGTTTTTTGTCCCGCGGGAGAGTTACAGCTTAGATACTGGTTGCACGCGGCCTGTACCTGCAAAACAACGGAGACTCCGGGTGGTTGGAGCTCTGCCTCTGACGATCAAGTTAGTACTTGAAGATAACCTGGAAAAGTGCGGAAAAAGAGGTGAGATCTTCTCGAATTTCGAGATCAGGTGATTCTCTGATGTAAGAGAATGTAGTGTATGCTGTAATAATTGTAGATGCCCCCAAAATGGGGGAAATCTCCCTATTTATAGGGTCATTGGAAAATGTGCCATTGATTAGGTCACTCTGACCTAATCATTATGGGTTGCGCCGAATTATGGCTTTATTGGGATTTGGGCCATTGAAGGCCATCTTTTTCTCCTAATTCGGAACAACCATGGTATCACATGCGTCGAACGCTGATTGGATCACGTGGCATGGGTAAAATTACCCAAAAAATTTGCCCCTCCACTAGTGGAAAAATAGCTATCCGTAACGGGCAAAAACAACCTATCCGTAACGGGCAGCGGGCGTTACGTATGCTGCCGTTACGGATAGGATATGTTATTCGTAACGGGCGCTGCCTGTTATAAATAACGGGTTTCTCGTAACGGGCAGACAGACTGACCGTTACGAATAACCCGTTACTAGTAACAGGCAGTTTGATTGCCCGTTACGAATAACCCCGTTATTTTTAACGGGCAGATTGATTGCCCGTTACGAATAACCCCGTTATTCGTAACGGGTAGTCTGATTGCCCGTTACAAATAACGGGTTGTTTGTAACGGGCAATCTGACTGCCCGTTACGAATACAATTGAGCCCAAATTAAAAAAAAAAATCCAACAAGTGATACCTGCTAGTTTGCTGCCAAATTTTTATTACTATTATAAATTATAAATTACAAAAATAAATAATTTTAAATAATGATTTATACAAATATGCAGTTCAAATTCAATTAGCAAAAGCTATACAACATTCAAATGATTTTATCAATTAAAGAAATTAAAAAATAAGTCATGCACTTGCTAATTGCTATAACTAAGATTAGATTTAAATTGAATCCGTTGCTCTCTCGTTTGCTCATAATTCGAAACTGTTTCAGCAACACCAGCAGATTGTTGTTCTTTATGGGGTTATTCCTATTGTTGTTTAATTTTGGCGTGATTTCAGCAAAGGAGGGTAGCGGAGGAGGAACTGGAGGAAGCACTACCAAATGTGTTGAAATGTTGAAGCCCATAGAGAAGATTTGAGTAGCATATCTTGCCGTACTATCGGTTTACTTATCACCATACCCAAACTAGCAAAGAAAGATCCAAAATCAGAAAAAAAAATCGATAGATCTGAAGCAAAAAAATGCAAACTACACTAGTGAAGAATCAAACACAACATTCCTATATTATTTATCAAAGTTAAAAAAATAATGTATACAATTTTAGCTTAAGTTAGCAATGCAGTTACCAAGTAAGCACCACCTGAAATCCATGCGAGCTGGGCTGACACTGCCAATGAAATAACCACCTCGTAAGGGCATGAACTCGAGTAGCCAATCAGGAATTGACTACGGGGATAAATTGAACTTGTTTAAAGCAGTGTGAGAGTATTCTTCTGTTTTATAGCGGTATATGTTATTTAACTGGGTATAATCAAACCAGTAATATGACCGAATATGGTACCTAAGTGCCTTGATCTTGGAGTTGATCTTGTCCAGAAATTCTTTGTTGTCAGGCACTTCTTTCAACATGTTTTTGGCATATCTCAGTGCAAAAAAGAAAAGAGACTGAATCTCAATTGGATACTCATATATTCCCTGCCCAATTGATGATTATGGATAAAGAAAATGGAAGCAGGCATGCATGTTACAAATAATTTTAACCATAATAATCTGTTCACTTATTGGCTTTACGACATTATCAGATGAGTTTCTATGTTTTAGGTACAAAAAGTTATTTAATCCAAAATAGAAGAAGCATAGGATTTTGTAGTTTCAGTATGCTAGTTACATTTAAACTGGTTGAACATAAACCAAGTGAATCACTCTTCAATACCAGAAAAGGAAAGGGTAAATAAGAAACTAACTAATGAGTGCCATTTATGGCACTTATAGGGTATTCTTTTAGGGTTATTTCTTTCCCTTTTCATGCTTTCTTCTCTTAATTTTGGTCCTTTTTCCTTAGGTTTCTCTTTCTCCTCTTTTCTTTATGGCTCTCGTGTTTTCCTTTTCTTTGGCTCTTTTTCCTTTTATTTCCTTTCTTTGTTTGCTTGTGTAGGTATTTGGAGTATCATCTTTGCAAAGGAATCAAGTTGGGGCCTTAATGATCAAGTAAGGAAGAAGCATTTTGCTAGAGAGGGCTTAAAGAGGCCTAGGAGAGGCCTCGGAGAGGTCTCCAAAGTATTCCCAGCAAGCCGCGGGCGCGGGCTTAAGAGGAGAAAATTGCAAGATTTTGGCAGGAGCTCCCCGCGGTTGCCCCGCGGGCTCTCCGCGGGCGCGGGAAATCTGGAGAGGGCGCTCCTTCTCAGAGAGACCGCGGCCCCCTGATTGAGTTTTGGGAGCAGGGGATTGGCCGCGGGCGCGACACCTTTGGCCGTGGGCGCGGGTCCATCTTGCCGCGGGCGCGGGTGCTGCCCAGAAAGCCCGCGGAGTGTTCCGTACCCATTTCTCCGCGGCCGCGGATTCATCGAGAGAGACCGCGGGATTTGCCGGTTTCTTTTTTACCTATAAATAGAATTGTAATTCCTTTTAAAAGGGGAACTTTTTGATAATTTTCATTAGCTTAGTTTTAGAGAGAGAATCTAGAGAAAAGTTAGAGAGAAGTTCTTGGTTTTGGATTTGTAACTCAACATTTGATCAATCAAGTTTGGATTTCTTCATTTTCAATCATCAATATTAGTGAGAATCTCTTCCTTCTTTCATCTTTTACTTACTTTCTATTTGATTTTTGCTTGTTGCTTGTTCTTCTTTGGATTTGAATTTGATATTGTTGATTATTTTGATTTCTCTTAGATTTTGATATAGAAATGAAGATTAAAGAAATTTCTAGTTATTTGTTCTTGAATTTCACCATGATTAGTGAGTAGATTAGTTGCTAGGGAAAGGGGGAAGAATGTTTGATTAATGAAATTGCTAGTTGATGCTCTTTGATTGATTGATTTCTTGCAATTAAATTGGTTGACATAGTTTTGCATGAGATTGATTAGACTAGGAGTGATCAACCTATAAGATTAATCTAGATTGCATTGCAACTCTTAATGACATGAACAATTGAATTGAAAGTTGCTCTAATTGATTGGGTTTGCTTGTGATCCTTCTTGATTTGCCTTTCATAGTGACACCTAGATTGGCCTATAGGAGATAGCATTTGAACTCTCTTGATTGCTACTATTGTTTGTCCATTGCAATACTTGAATTAATTGATTGAGCTCTAAACTAGCATTATCATTGAACTTGCATGTGGAACCCATATCCCTAGTGTTTAGACCTTTGTTTTACTTGATTAGACTTGCTTTAGTTTACCATAGTGCCAACCATAATCTCAACTCCGTCTTCGAGGTAGCTTGACTTAGACTCTAGTTTTAGTCATTGCATTCCCTAGGGATCGACCCTTAACTTGCCCTATATTCATATAAGGTTGGTTAGGTGTTTACAAATTTTGTTTGACCGAGGGAAGATTAGATAACGACCTAGTTTTTCTCTTGTCACTAACCATATAGTTTTTTCCAGCTAAAAGAGACATTTCCTTGACCAGAAACTGCTAGATCACGTAAATTGGCATATTTCCACACGCATTTTGCTAATAGAGTATTGTAGAACCATTTGCAGGTAGTGGCAAGCATCACCAGAGACCTTCCATCTAGGTACTTGGCTATCTCAATCCATACATCATCCTCAAACCTTGGAGCACAAAATCAAAATTCAGTTACAAATTTCAATTTGTAACCAATATTCAAAACTACAGAAACTCCAAATCCTGGTCTATTCACACAAAATCATGCTAATCAAAAGTTAAAATCAATTGTTGAACCGTTCAATTCCACAAACATAATCAAGATTCAATAAAAGATAATTATGCACAAAATGATTCCAACCACTGCATTTTCTTAAAAACACAACATGCCTATATTATTTATCAAAGTTAAAATCAAATATCACAAGATCTGAGATCTTGAACCCTAGAAAAAACAATCCAATTCAAATAATAAATTCTACAAATCAATCATTTACTCATTTCACTAAAATCATCACAACATGAATCAAACCCAACAAGATCCAATCCACAAAAACAAGAAAACCCCATTTAAGATCTGGAAATTTCCAAAATCAAGGGCAAATCACAGATAAGAAAAAGGGGATTAAAACGAAAAATGACGAGATAAATGAAATTATACCTGGGTAGAGAAGAAGTAGCAAGAACGCCAACGAACTTCAACAACAAGAGCCATATGAGTCTCAATAAGAACAGTAGTTTGAATAGTCATATGAAGAGATCCAGTCATCTTAGCACCTTTAAAAGGTTGAGAAGGACCAAATTCAGTACGACAAGACATAAGTCTAGGCATTTCGACTTCAGAAAGCTCGATTTCGAGTCTACCAGTGGTGGTCTTCTCAACTGACAATGAAGTCGCCGCCATTGTTGTTGAGCTTGAAGAACAGAAAGAGAGAGAAGATGAATGAGGAAGAGGAGAAATGCGAGAAGAGAAATGAGCAGTGTTGACAGTGATTTGAGGAGAGAGAAAGAGAAGATGAGTGAGGAAGAGGAGAATGCAGAAAGAGAGAGTGATTTGAGGAGAGAGAAAGAGAAGAGGAGTGAGGAAGAAATGCGGCTGCGAAAGTATGTAGGAACCGATCTTTAACCCTAGAGAGTTTTTTAGTTGTAACGGGCTTTATATTTGTCCGTTACAATTAATAACTATTCGTAACGGGCATTAATTTTCCCGTTACAACTATTAATTATTCGTAACGGACGTTTTTGCCCGTTGCAAATAAATTTTTCCGTAACAATCAAATATTTTGCCCGTTACAATTACTCTTTTTGTAACGGATTTTATCATGTCCGTTACAAATAGGGTGTTACAAATGACAATTTTTCCACTAGTGCTCACAGATGTGACATGGCGCGCCACGTGGCATCTGTGACACATATCACTCCATCATAGGTTTTTATTTTTTTATTTAATTTTTTTTCAGTGAAAATTTGAACTTTTCACATTCCGGGGAATTATGAAATTCCCTCAAATTTACCCATCTAGTTTTGGACGTTTCCAAAACATTCTAGAGAGATAAAGTCTAAGAGTTAGAGAGAGAAAGAGTCTGCATTCCGTATGTGTGTGAGCACAAATTTGGTATTTTTCCCACCTGCGTCAGTCGGTTCTCAACCGCATGTGCCTCAAGAAAGCAAGGTTAACTTCAGCAACAACTCAGTCGAACATCGTCGTTTGCCCCCCTTTTAGAGACAAACGTAAGGTACCGCCTCTACCCCTTTCAACTCATTTCATTTGTTTCAATTCATTCAATAAATGGACTCATCACCAGCACACACGATACGACCTAGGTTTGTAGTCAGCCGGTCACTTGGGACGGCTGAGTCTAGGACTAGGAGTGTCGGCTCTGGGTGCATGGAGCAATTTTATACTCCTCGACCGACCATTTATGTTTCTGTGCAGGATACGATGGCTAGAACCAAACAAACAGCCACCAGACGGCGTCGGAGAGACGGTACTTTAGAAGTGTCATCAAATGAGGTAACCCTAGTTGAGGGGTCACAGGGCAATGAAAGCTCTAGGGAGTATTCCCCATCTAGGATCCCTAGAACCCCCAGCGATACAATCTTATATGCGGGTAGAGACGACGTTATGTCCATTTTATATAGTGTATTACCCCCGTCCCTTGGTCATAATAGGTAGTACTTTTGGCTATTTAGAACCACTTTTATTACTAATTAGTGTTTTATAGTGTTTTCGTAGTTTTAATTGACTTTTGTAGGGATTTTCAGTTTTAGAGCATTTTCACGGGATATTATGAAGTGACCACGAGCATTGGAGGAGCACAACCACTTTATAGCCTGGGGCCGGTTAGAGTCGTCAAACTGGTGATTAAGGGCTCAACATTTGTGATTCTGAGGCATTTGGAACGAATACTCAAGACCCGAAGAGGAAATCCGGATTGGGCCGAAGATTTGGAGCCTATCGAGAAGTCTAAGCTTGCCCAAGTGTTCGGACCCGGCAAAAATAGGCACTTCGCGAAGGCGCGCCTAGCCGGGCGAGGAAGAGTACTTCGTGCCTGAGTTTGCGCCCGGCCGAGCGCGAGAGATCCTTATAATGAGAAAAAGGCGGGCCCGATCGGGTGGCCTTGCCCGATCAAGCGGGAGATTTTTAGGAGCTAATTTTGGAGATTTCTCTTAGTTTTAATTAGGAGTAATTATTGTTGTATAAATAAAATTTTAATGCTTTTGTTTAAACCTCTTCTCTTAGAATTTCTCTCTCTACTTAGTCTTAAATTATTTTCTCTCTCTACAACTTTGTTCTTTATTTTTTTCTTAATTAAACTCTTGAATTGCGATTACTTTGGTAACGATTTCTTCTACTTTAATCTCAGTTATTTACTTTATTTCTTTCATCATATCTTGTTTAATTGCTTTGATTAGTTTAGTTTTAATTATGTTTGAGTAGTTTTCTTTCTAGGGTTTATGGGGATCTATAAATAATATGAAGGGATAATTTATTGTTATTGATTATCAATGCTTGATTAATTTCCTATTGATTAATATAATTCTCTGCAACTAGATTAGCGCTGGTCTTTTATGTATGAGTTTAGCAATATTAATTCGTGATTCGAGAGATGAGAATTGATATTTAGGCTTAGTTCCAATAGGAAGGTTAATTTATAAATGGTTAAGTCGAGATTCGAGAGATGAGATTTAATACCGGCAGATTAATTCCGTGATTTTAATATGTAGCGAAAGCCCTTTATTATCTGATTAATTGATGCATTGATGATTGATTATTATGTTTTACCCTGGAATGTTATTTATTGGTGAACCTATGTCTAGGCCTTTATTCATTGATTTCTCTTTACTCTTAATCTCAATATTTTAGTTTCCTTTCCATATTATTAATTTGTTACTTAATGTAGACACCCATTTTTGCCTGACCGGGTGCGAGAATTAACGAAGTACAAAAATTTTCATCGCCCGACTGGGCGAAGGGCGCCTGACCTGGCGCGAGAGTTGAAGAAAAATCGAGCGTTTTGTCTCCCGACCGGGCAAACGGCGCCAGATCGGGCGCGAGAGCTATGCATTTTCTAGAATTTAGATCGCCCGACCAAGCGACAAGCCGCCCGACCGGGTGCGAGTTTCTCCGCCCAGTTTTTCTTCTCCTTCCTTCTTTCTTTTCTCATTTCCTTCTCTTTCCACCATTTTTTCTCTCTCTAAAACCATAAACTCTCTAACTTCTCTCTAAGATCTCTTCTCCCATTCTCACCTGAATTAAATAATTCTTTCATATTTCTAATCCTCTCTTCATCCTCTACATTTCTATACCAAAATCCCCATATTCCAATCAGATAAAAAATCATACCCATTTTTCAAGTATGGCATCAAAGAGGTCAAGGACGATTCCAGGGATGAATTCTAGCTCAAGTCAACAATATGATTCGAAATCGCAACCTCCATAACGGCCAACCATACGAATTGCTACCCGGGAGCAAAAAGAACGGCTTGAGCAACTCTACGGGCGAGAGGTAATCCCTTCACGGCGGTTACACCACTATACTCTTGAATCCTATGGTTTATTTAATTATGTTAAACATTTTTTGAACGATATAGGAATGAGGAAATTTGTAGATATGAACTACCCTACTTATCGTGAATTAACGTGTGAATTCTGTTCCTCTTTGTCTGTTGTAAATAGTAAAAATTGATGTTTAGGTTAAATAATAGAAATATTGTTTTAACCTTTGTTGATTTTAGTTAAATTTTTTATTTGAATTCTAAATTACCCATCCAATGGCATGAACAATATAAAATGGAAGATATATATCATGTTTTGACTTGTTTACCGCCACCTAACGCCCAACATGCTAGTGTCAAACCTATCCATCACCATGTACCTAAAATCTGGCAAAGATTTGCAAGTGTTTGTTTTTTAGGTAGGAATAAGCCGCATAACGCCCAAACCAATGACCTAGCTATAATTGGACATTATGTATTTGAGTACGGTAAACTAAACATTGCTAGATACATTATCTTTCACCTTAGTAGACATGCCTCGACTAGTAACGATGCTACTACCCCGATTCGTCTAGGTGACCTAATTACCAGGATAACAGTTAAGAAGTCCGGGTTTGTTGAGAGTGGACCTCACAGTCTCACTGATTGTGGACCAGAAACCTACATGACTGCTAGGTACCTTGAGGATTTGACTTGGGTATGTTTGGATAGCCAGCGAGTCCCCCACTGGTGCATTAGTACAGGATCGGAGCAATCATTGCCTATCTTTTCCATGCCTAATCTCGAGTTGATTGCTTTTTCCTAGGGCAAAAGTCCTACATATATGACCTTTTAGTTGCCAATGCTAGGAGGTAAGCACCCCCAGTTCCACCACCACCCCAGCCTGAGCCCGAGGTAGTGCTTTCACCACCTTGCATGTCTCATACAGCCCTACCTCCTCCTAATAGTGACTCTGAGACATTTTGGGATCTTCAGAGTAGAGTTTAGGCCATCTGATGCATAGAGTATTCACATAGTAACCTTAGGAGGATGGTAGGCTCCCTTGACCAGCGATTAGGGTACCTTGAGATGAACCAGGGTAGAGCCATGTATCCTATGTATGATGATTATGCTCGTCGGGGAAATATTCCCGACGATGCTATTTACCCTGATTGGTTTCAGCCCCACCCAGGAATACGATAGAGATCCCACCGCCGGTGGTATTTATACTGACTATTCATCTTTCCACGGGTACGACCGGGATATACCTTTTGGGGGACCGGATTGGGGGGGTTTCTTCCTAACTATTTTTGTGGTAGCTCTTCTGGTGCAGGTGGTAGCGATGGAGGATTTGGCTCCATGGATGAGGATGATGAGGATTAGCCAGCCGGGCTAGTTTTCGAGCCAATGAGGACATTGTCTGATTTTGGCTTGGGGGAGATTTTTGGATTTGGTATCTTTCTTTTTCCCTTTTTTTTATTTTTTTATTTTTGGTGTGTTTTCTTAGATTAGATTCATTTCTTTCTAGTATAGTTTTATTGCTTTCTTATATGAAAAATACAAAAAAATAAAAAAATAAAAACAATCTAAAAATAAGTTTCAATGAATTGTAAATCATGCTTCTCTGTGCCCCATACTTGGAAAAAAATTATTTTGATTCTTGGTATATGATGATGAGCGTTGTGGATTTATTGATCATGATTTGAAGTTTAATTGCTTGGATGCCCTAACATGCGTCAATTTTGCCCAACTACTCGTGAATATAGTGCTTGGCTAGTTGATTTGGTGAGGATGTGTGTTAGTTCCTGGTATGTCAATGAATTTGAGTATTGATTTTTAACTATGAGTAGCTTTCATGACTCTTTATTATGCACATTGAGGAGGACGAAGGCATTTGTTCTTTTAGGTGACCTTCAGATGATTGTA